TCCTGTCCGTCTTTCATTAATATATTTTTTCTTCCCCATTTTGCTTCTTGCAGGTTTCTTTTCTTTATTTTATACCATTCCATTTTTCTAACTTTTTCTTATTTATACCCTTTTTCATATTATTAGTCTTTCATTTTCCGCCCCTTAATTCTAAACTTTATTTTACCTGATTTTCTTTATTATTTGTTTATCTAATTCTTACCTTTCTCTCATATTCTTTGCTTTCATCTTATTTGTAACTTGTTATTCCTACATTTTTCTTTCATCTTATTCTTACCGTGTTACATAGTCTCCCCTGGCTTGGTGATAAATTACAAATTCTTACCTTTCATCGTATTTTATCTTTTATCATATTTTTACCTTTCATCCTATTTTATCCTTCATCGTATTCTTATCTTTCATCGTATTCTTACCTTTCATCGTTTTCTTATCCTCATCTTTCTCTTTCTTTCCTCTCACCCTTCATCTCGCTTTCATCCCTCATATTCTTTTCTCTTCCATTTTCTTTCCATTGCACGACAGGATGGACCGAAACGTCGTCGTTTCTTCAGTTTCAGGTGTGTGGTTTAGGTATCATGTTTGCTCTTGGTTTCACATTTGCACTCACACTTTAATAAATCAGTGCTGTCCCTTCACTGTCCCTGTATAAGCGGCTTACATTATTATATAGACAGGTCTAATATATATGTATGTGTATATATATATATATATATATATATATATATATATATATATATATATATATATATATATATATATATATATAAAATGTATGTATTTCATGGATACTGCAGTACAAATTGTCATAAAGCATCATTCGTAAAAAAATGAAATTTTTTTTTTTAGAGCCGTCGTGTTGTGAGAACATCATTCATGTGCTAATTATGCGTTTTGTAAACAGCTTTGTCACGGTTGCACAGCGACACATGACATCTGGCAAACAGGTCATTACAGAGGTATAATGAGTGATATTGTATGTCTCCTGTTGTTGCTCATTCATAATAGAAGCAGTGCCGATGATCGCCTATGGAAAACAAATGGGAAGGTAATTGAGACTTTACAAACAAATAAATAAAATGTGATCCAAAACAAGTGAACAATAATTTGACACATTGGATTGCGAAAAACACCCCACTATTGTTCCTAGGAATCAATAGGTGGTCATGTTTGCTGCTGCTTCCCAGAGCACATGTTTGACAGACGACTTTTGATTCAGCGTTACTCGAGCATATTTTAACCACAATATATATACAACGTTGATCACACGCCACTGTGGGATATTGTGCCCGCAGGGTAAGTAAACATCTTTCCAGTTTCCTTCTGTTTGGATATTATTCACCTATACATAATTGTCTGCCTCGCCGTAATAGATCAGTGAGGTACAATAAGTAGCCTAAATTCCCATACCCCCCCCCTCCATATTTTATATATATAATATAATATATATATATATATATATATATATATATAATATATATTTAGCTTAATATCTCTCGGCAAGTTCTTTTAGTGTGGGAAGATGTGTACGATGTGTTAGACGTCGATTTAGCACAAAAAAAAATATATAGTTTTTTCAGCTCTGGATTATTTTAGGTGTCAAACTGAGAAGTTCCTTTTGACGTCGCTCGTCTTTTGTTCTTGAACTCTGGTATTGACATCCCCAGTGATGGGTAATGGTCTTTCCGCTCGACCAAGTCACCACGATAATGACGCCGTCCTCCTAAAATCAAAGTACTTATAGTAACGATGAGGTTGATCGTACAAATATCGACGTGATGGACCAATAGATAGAAAACTTGTATTATTGAATTGGGAAAAATTGGAATACTTGTTCTACTGTTGCTGATAAAAGTTAACCTAACATCCTAGGCTTAATATAGTACATATTTGTGCTATACTAGGCCTAGGAATAAGTTTCATTTTTTAAGCTTCATTTCTTCCAGACAACATAAAATAAATGGTATCAAATTCTATATATCCATCACGTCGATATTTGTAAGATCGTCCATATAGTTACAAAAATTACTGTCCTGTCGGGAGGATGTTGCCTTGGTAATGAGTGTTCGGGTGTAGGCTTTAGTGTTGTGGCTACACTTACTCTCAGGCAGAAATGTTCCTCCCAATGTAAATGAGTTTTCCTTAGGTAAACACGATGTGTTGAATGTTCAAACAGCCTGTAGTCATTGGATGTCTTTGACTGGAGGGATCAGCAATGATGCAGGTATCGATTAGTTGCTTTTTACATAAAATATTACTTTACAAATTAGACAGTATGATTGCTTTTCCAATAAATAAAAAATTTTGGATCTAAATTAATTGGTTATGCATAATAAAATAAAATAATTACCATCGTTCGTCAGTTCCACAGTTATATATTTTGTTATCTGTGCTTTAAAATGTTAATCGAGTTACGGGATCATGGCTCCAATTCGTAAGCATCCTAAAGTGTAGTGGTTATCACCAGACCCTCACACACACACACACACACACACACACACACACACACACACACACACACACACACACACACACACACACACACACACACACACACACACACACACAGTTTTCCTCGTGGAAAACGTTTTCCTCGTGGGGCCTCGTAGCCTGGTGGATAGCGCGCAGGATTCGTAATTCTGTGGCGCGGGTTCGATTCCCGCACGAGGCAGAAACAAATGGGCAAAGTTTCTTTCACCCTGAATGCCCCTGTTACCTAGCAGTAAATAGGTACCTGGGAGTTAGTCAGCTGTCACGGGCTGCTTCCTGGGGTGGGTGTGTGTGTGTGTGTGGTGTGGAAAAAAAAAAGTAGTTAGTAAACAGTTGATTGACAGTTGAGAGGCGGGCCGAAAGAGCAAAGCTCAACCCCCGTAAAAACACAACTAGTAAACACACACCATCACTCTCGCCTTGCAATCCTGTGATGACCTAGGATCAAACCCCTGGGTAGAATGGAACGATTTGGTACCGTTCCTTTTCTATATACTTGTTTTTGTGCCCCCAGCAGTGGTTTGGGGGATACGGGTATAGAACGATTTGCTGATCATGTTCTGGGAAAAACATATAGGATAAAGCTTTAAAACGAGCTGTGGGTGTTGGAGCTCGTAGCCCGCAAACACGAGTCAAGCTTTGTTATGTAGTCCTATACACAGCCCGTCCTCCAAACAAAGATCCAAAAGTGATTCCATGCACCCGCCAAACCCCCTGTTTATGAATGAAAAGCGGTTTACACACGACTCACAACTGCTGACGTTCGAACATATCCGGAACAAGTGCTTCACTGACGAATTTTGTTCGAATCACAACGCTATAAATGCTTCACAACTTGTAATAAAGTTGTTACACGTACGCGTTTACAAATACAAATAATCGCCAACAGAACCTAAACACCTGACCCAACCTAACCTATGCCTATATATACACAATATGCTAATATATTATAATATTAATTTGTACTTGAGAAAATTCCCGTCTTGAATGAACAGCATGTTAAAATTTATGAATGCGTCTGTGGGGTTGACCGCTGAATGTAATGGACTTGAGTCGAGGACGGGTTGCTATACACTTTAATTCGAAACAAATAAGAAATTAGTATACCTGTTGGTCCAGTGTATTGTGAATTGAACTTGTTTTCATTCTATATATCTGTCATTGTGTAAAGTTAGCAGGTTGTTTCAATAAAGGAGCTTGGCGGTTTGTTTCGCTCATCTGCGACTATTACCAAATCGGTGTTTACTTGTATCTCGCGAATGACTTTCGGAATCACGGCGCCTCATGTACATAATGTACATAATGCCTTATGTACACTGCCAGTGGACATGCTCTGGTTATGTGATTGCGACCGGATAGGATAACGGTAGTATTCCTGAGGCACCTGACAGCTGAGTGGACAGCGCTTCGGATTTGTAGTCCTGAGGTTCCGGGTTCGATCCCTGGTGGAGGCGGAGACAAGTGGGCAAAAAGTTTCTTTCACCCAGATGCCCCTGTTACCTAGCAGTAAATAGGTACCTGGGAGTTAGACAGCTGCTACGGGCTGCGTCCTGGGGGTGTGTAACAAAAAGGAGACCGGGCCGCGGAGACGCTGAGCCCCAAAATAGTCTCAAGATAACCTATAGAACTAATTGTCACGTAAGCATTTTTTTTAGCACAGGTTAATTCTCTGCTGGATTTATTTCCCAGCGTTTGATGTTCACTGATGAATGCATTTCTTGATTAGCTACGATCAAAGCATATCTCATTGTGACTAGAATGTTGTATTAAGCAATATAGGCAGCAGTTAAGCAGTCCATTCTCTCGACTTGGTAAAAAAAATTGCAATTGTTTTGCTAACCAGAAACGTACAAGCCCAAGCAACCCACCTAACCTATCGAGGCCATGGGAACGTCAATATTACAATGCTTTAATTTTGACCAATACGTCGCATATTTCACGTTGCTGTGACAACTCAAGGCATTATTACACACTAGTGAAGTAGGGCGTAAAATACGAAAGTTATTTTATTAGGTTGCCTATTCGATTTTGAGTTAATTGACCTACAATTTATTTTGTGGCTCTGGTTCTTGCTGAATATTATTTTTATTTTTTGTTTTTTTACGATTTAGTCATGATTTGACTTAGCTTCTCTAATCTTATAATCTCTACTTTTTCGTTTATCGTAAATTTGTCACAAAAATGTTCTTATTAATAAAGCCTTGATACTAATTAACACCAAGATTGTGGTGATATAAAGTCTAGTTTGCTCATTTTCTTTTGCAGTTCAAAGGTGCAGCAACATTGTTAGTTTCACAGTGCTTTTTTTTGTGAGTGTTTGGTCTTACGGCCGGACTTGGCACATTCTCAGCCACGCACCTCAGCACACCACCCACAAACACTCAGACAGCCTAAGTATGACTGAAATGTGTAACACTTAATGAGCCAACCAAAGGCATTGGGCCCGCGCGAAAATTTTCCCCCACACCCGAAAACAATTCGGTTTGTAATAAGACTTATTGAGTTAACCTTACCTTCCCTTGTACAGTTGTGGACCCTTCATCGCCTCTTGCACTCATTTTGACCTTGATCCTACACATGGCCTGCTCTTGACCCACCTTCACAACAACGCTGGCTCTCACCTGTTGTCAGTTCCTCTTGTTAATGAGCTCATTATACAATTTCTCTTCATTCAATCTTTTTCGCTTGCTTCATTGTGCCCCTGCAGAGATTCCGCATAATGAATGCTGATGTCAAACGACATCAACTTTGGTGATGAACTATTCCAGATTCCTTGAAAACTTGGGTGATCAGAGCTGGAGAGCCGCGCACTTAACATAACAATTTTTTTTAGTTAGGCTACCGAAAAATAGCGTAAATATCTAGTGCGTAAAACATCTCGGGCGTAAACATCTGGGTGTTATTTTTACGCCCAGAAATATAAAATTAGGATAGTTCAGTGATGTAAAAGTCGCCGCAGAATTGACTCAAACCTCGTACTAATAAGGTTTCCAGGGTTCTCACGCACACAATAAAAACAATAACGTTGTTAGGCGAAAACCACTTCAGATTTAACGCTGGTCAGATTGTGATAACAGGTTGAGCTGCTACAGTCTTCTCACTCCTGGTTCATTTAAGTTCCCTTCAAGCATGGCAGTGTATGCGTTGTTGTCCAGTGGGTTGAGGCGTCAGGTGGTCCTAGGCGCTGTGTACCTGGGCTCTGCTTGCCATGAATTCCTCATCCAGGGCGGGCTGCAGCACTCGGTTGTCGCTCACACACCAGGGAATTGGTTACACAACTCCGCTTTCACCCAGGCTCTATTATTTAGTTTTCCAAGGGGACCGACCACTCTGCTGGCCTGCTGCGCGCTGCCGTCGTGAAGGTGCTCCGAGATATGACCGTGTTATCATGTTATCTATTGTGTTGACGGTTGGTGAACATTGATAGCGTACTGTATTTTGGTACAGAAAACATTATTCATGGTAAAGTATCGTTAGCTAATGTATCCAATTGGTCAAAGCGTACACAAGACGGTTCAACAAAGCTAAAACCGTATACGTTGACAATTAGGTTGTGTGAGTTGGGTTGGGTTAGCCCAGTAGGCACAGTTTAAAAGAGTAACGTTGAAGCAGATTGTCATCGTTGATTCAACGTTGAAATAACCTTTACGCTTAACTATTGTGCCCACGATTAGGCAGGGTTTAAAATCCACTGGAGAAGCATCTTGTGAATGATGTGACTTGTATCCGTGTAATTACACTAAATACTGTTTAGCTGTTTAAGGAAGTGTGGTTGGCATAGTTGTACCCTACGTTTCGTTGTACTAACATTCTTTAGTATGCGAGGCGAAGGTTCCGGTGTCAAAGTCACAATTCAAATATACGTTGTCTCAGCGAACAAGCCTGTCGGTTCACTAATTTGGTGTGAGACACGCGCCTTTGATCTGTCTCTCATTCTCTCACTCAGAGGAACGAACACCTCACGCTCTCAAAGGAAAAATCGAGATAAAAGAATGTCACATCAAACGACCCCTAAACTCTTAAATGAATTGAAAATGTCCCAGCTGATGCTGTCATATTTGTATGGTCTCATAGGATACCATCCCATCAGTTGATTGGTTTCTTTTTGTTGACGTTCTGGACCAGGAATCTTTATGCATTTACGGAACCGCTTACGAAACCTGTACATCTATCCTTATCAACTGCCGGTTTGTTTACATTTATCAAGCAGTCTACGAGCTTCGAAAATCCACAATCCAACGTTACTTTTGTTTAAACTTTAATAGGCGTAGACAAACCCGCCATGATTGTAGAAAGATGTACAGGAAGTGTACTCGGTGCACGTGCACCAGAAAGTGCACTAGGTGAGCGTACACCAGAAAGTGCACTAGGTGCGCGTACACCAGAAAGTGCACTAGGTGCACGTACACCAGAAAGTGCACTACACCAGAAAGTGCACTAGTGCACGTACACCAGAAAGTGCACTAGGTGCACGTGCACCAGAAAGTGCACTAGGTGCACGTACACCAGAAAGTGCACTAGGTGCACGTACACCAGAAAGTGCACTAGGTGCGCGTACACCAGAAAGTGCACTAGGTGCGCGTACACCAGAAAGTGCACTAGGTGCGCGTACACCAGAAAGTGCACTAGGTGCACGTACACCAGAAAGTGCACTAGGTGCACGTACACCAGAAAGTGCACTAGGTGCACGTACACCAGAAAGTGCACTAGGTGCACGTACACCAGAAAGTGCACTAGGTGCGCGTACACCAGAAAGTGCACTAGGTGAGCGTACACCAGAAAGTGCACTAGGTGCGCGTACACCAGAAACGGTTTAACCATTAACGCTTCGATTTTAAAAGTGTAATTTTTATAATCTCGAAATTAATATAATAACCAACTCTCCTGAAGCTTATCACAATCTAAGCTTCAATACATGCCTGACCAGTCAAAGACTAGCCAACGTACTAACATTATATGCTTCAACTTTTATAATAACAAATGATGAGAGAAACCGGGGTATTAGGGTGCAGGTTCTCCAGGGCAAACTTATACATCTTGTGGCGCTTGTCGACAAATTAGGTTAGGTTGATTAAGGTGTTTGTACAGTACGGGTTGGAAGTCACCGCATGACGGGAGGTCGTAGCTAGTGTTTCAACGACAGTATTAAGAAGAGACTTGTGGCTGACTGGCAATAGTCGTATTTGGTACATATTCGTGGTAGAGAAGGGTGTTGAATAGAGTGATTATATCCACGTTCTTCATTAGACGATTGCATTCGTCAGGGGTCTGTCATTCAAAAATATGTTGACTTTAATTTGTCATTCATAAATGTGATATCTGCAATCTTAGTTTTAAATTTACATAAATGAATTTAAATTTGATTCAACGAATTTTAGTCAACTCTTGTCTCTTATTAATATATAATTCTAATAACGGCCTAGATCTTCATGTAACTACGGAATTTATAGGGAATAATTTACGGAATTATTAATGTAATCCTTGTCGACTATAGTGACAGCTGTTACCATGGTGACTTGCGAGGATACATCGTCTGTGTATTGAAATATATTAAATGTGGACTATTTAAAGTTTCACTGTTTTTAAACATTTACTTGGGAAACGTATTGAACACGATGTTTTGTTAAAATAAAAGACCTTCTTGAAGTTAAAATCTGCATTTTAATATTAAAATGTATTATGAATTTACTTACATATAAGTTATTAATAATACTGTAGTAGTATTGTTAGACTTTGGGGCCTAAGGTTGTCTTCAGCGCAGGCATATATTATAAGTTGTGTTGCTAACCCTAACATGAAGCTCATTTATATACGTAGGAGAAGGAAAAAAATAATGTTGAATATATTTAGCAAGGGTACTGAAGGAGTTTTAATTTAACGGCACCCACCCGCATCCAAAAAAAGAAAAATCATAGTTTTGCATTTAAATTAATTAAATTTCCTCCAAATGTGGGTCAGGCTCATAAAATTAATGGGATATGTTTAGGAATTTTATTTTGATTTTATTTTTATAATTAAGCGCTGACGACGAGCGTGTAGGTACTGAAAGTGAGACTTGATAAGCTTAGCGGACATTGGTCAAACTAACCAGGTAAGTAGGAACTTACAAGCGACCTGGTCGGATTAGGACGCCAAGGACTCTTCTCTCCTCCCAGTTGAGCGTCTGTAATTATTGAGCTCGGGCTCACCATAGCCCGTGCTACTTGGAACTTCTTGTTCAAGATAGCGAATCTTTAACAACAACAATTACTGAGAAAGAGAAGCCAGGAAGACTATGCTGCTATCGGAGTAGCATTCTGCGTATTACCGGCGAGACAATAATCCAACAGCAATTTACCATAATGAACAAGAATCTAACGTCATAATAGCCAGTAATGCACGAACCCAAGCCACCCACCTAGCCTAACTAACTGATGCATAGAAAGCATGGATTTTTGTGATCCGCTACTTTTCATAGAACGTTGCATTTATAACGTTGGTTACCCTAACGAATCATAACGTCGTATTAGTTGAGAGAACCTGACCCATGGGTGAGTTTTGACGCTGAGATCTCTTAACTCTTAGTAATAATTATTTTCACCTTGCTGATAATGATGATATCATTATCAATGATAACTCTGGGTGTTATCACCTCAACAGGAAGTGGGAGACGTCGCTAGTTAAACTCAAGATAAACTCAAGGGCACTGAACGGTAACCTGCACCTCTCAAAATTGCGTTTTCCATTTAGTCACTCGTCTCCTAGTAACATGTATGTATATAAAATTATCTTGAAATATGTGACATAGCGTCAAGGCGTGTGTTACGTTGCATACTGGCTTAGCCCTTTCATTTGACGTGTTCATTGTTACTTATTTCTTGTCAGAATTGCGTAGAATGATGCAATTGAGGAATGATGAAATCCATGGCTTTATAAGATAAATCTAATTCGGGATCAGGCAAATGCTAATAAGCTCTGTTTTTAGGAATCCGAGGCAATCGCTATTATGCTCCTTTGCAACACCCAGCTCCTATCCAGATAATTGCGTTTGCTTTTTCAGCATTAGTGACCCCTCACTCGAGTAGGTGGGCTCGCGGGCATGTATTGTCCCCCTGCTCCCTTACCCCTCGCCTATCCCCTTCCTACTGCGTCAATAGTCCCATGTAAACCCGATGGCGGCCATATTGATTTCAATTGATAATCGCCGTTTGATGTGTTCCAACGCTGGCTCGGAGAATCGTAGTTCGATATCAACATTAAAGGTGTGCCGTTGGCTGTGCCTCGTAGACAGTTGTCCGACAAACGTTGCGAATGAATTGTTGCAGGTTTGGAGCGGTGAGGGGCCGTCTCCTGGAGGCCGGCCATGTTGCCGAGCCACGAGGTGTGCGTTCAATATATTATATACAAGTACCATGCCGTTTTAATTTCTGAAGAGGTTTTCCTCGGATTTCCAGCCGTGACCCAACAAGGCCTACGGGCTCACCATAGCCCGTGCTACTTGGAACTTTATGTTCCAGGTAGCGAAAATTTAACAACAACAACGTGACCCAAGTTGTGGAGTATATGTCCCCTGATGCAAGCAAATCAATTATTTGGGTTTAATAGGGCATAACTCATAAAAGAAAGTTTTTCCAATTAAATTTTTTTCATTGTTATTTTAGTTGTAGTTTTGACATTCCAAGCCTTTACATATCATTTAATGGTCAGTGATGAGATTAAGGTAAGGAGAATAGGAGTAAAGAAGATTCCAGCGATGTGATAGGTTAAAAGGTGCCCAGTTTTTGGAATTAGAGGTAGCGTGAAGTTCAGAGAGTATGTAACCCGTGGCGGACCTACAACATGTGGGTTCTTGAAGCTTGAACTGTCATTGGTGGGAGGGGGGGGGGGAGGGCTTGACAAGCAGCAATGAGGTCTGGGCAACCACTGTTATCTTCCATGGGGGTAATTGTTCCACAAGGGATCACTACAATTTTTATTTTTATGTTTATTTAACCACTATATCCAACTAAATCCATCCAATCGTAGATCCAACTAAAAGTGGCTTCTGGGGCCCCTCCGGGATGAAGGGCCCTGAAGCTTACCTTGAGGTTACCTTGAGGTGCTTCCGGGGCTTAGCGTCCCCGCGGCCCGGTCGTCGACCAGGCCTCCTGGTTGCTGGACTGATCAACCAGGCTGTTAGACGCGGCTGCTCGCAGCCTGACGTATGAGGCTTAGGCTTCATTGGTTTAATAGTATATCCGTCCGTGTATATAACACTAAACAGAACATGTACAGCACATGTGAAACTGGTCAATATTCGGGTAGCTTTTGCGGACCTAGACGAGGAAGACTTGGTCATCAGATATTTACTTAACTACTTACTAACCCCCCGTGCATTTTTCAACTATCATTGCGGCTTTGTTTACATTTATTAAACTGTTTACGAGGTTAGAAACTTGTTAATCAAAGGGTATCATTGATATAAACAACTTCGTAGTACATTCGGAGCTCAAAATTGTTTAAAAAATGTAAACAGAACCGCCATAAGTGTTGAAAGATGTACAGGTTTCGTAATGGATGCGTAAACGCTTGATGAATCCTAGCCCAGAAAACACTGCTGGACTTCCATAGGACCGACCGTCACGTAAGCACAGGAGATCTCACATCGAGGAAAAAAAAACTAAAAATCCAGAGATGTGCAATATATTTGTATCACCTTCCCTTGAAGGTCAGGACACTGACAGTAGAACCTTAAATGATTTTATGTTCTCTGACACGGTACATTCTAATGCTTATTTGTAGTTGTCGTTTCATCTTCAAGGCAGTTTAATGTCTACATAATCTTGTTACGCTTGTAAACCTGTGGTAATGAAAGTACAACGTGATACAATGTGGTAATGAAAGTACACCTAAGCAGACAGTCTCCGTGGTGTAGTGGTAAGACACTCGCCTGGCGTTCCGCGAGCGCTATGTCATGGGTTCATATCCTGGCCGGGGAGGATTTACTGGGCGCAATTCCTTAACTGTAGCCTCTG